TGCGATTTGTAGCGAATTTCAGGAGTCCGTGCGCCTGAATGCTTGGTCAACACCACATAACTTTTGCATTCCCCCCCCCTCACCATTTTTTTTTCATTTCCCTGGGCGCAGAACCTACAAGGCAATTTTCTTGGTTTGAATACAGTGAGCTAAAGGGTTAATGCTGATTTATTCTCATTTATAATCTTAATTACCTAAATAAAAACCAATTCCAACCGTGTTCGGGTCCATTTCTCCTCGGCATAGAAGCTGTGAGGTGTATAGTGAATGTTAACTTTATTTATTGATGAGTCAACAGTAACAGATCCACGGTTGGTACAGTCGGGCCGCACTCCACTCCCTATTTCATTGACGGAAATTTCGTTTCCTTTCAACCACGGAATAATTCGATATTTTTAAAGAGAAATTCTCATGAAAGATACATTCCGCATCTTCTTTGGTCACCCCCCCACCTTGCAACAAATGTATTGCAACTGTCGCTCTCTCTTGTGGATAGTTGAGCTATCAATGGCCAGACAGGCCTGCCCAAAACTTCAAGGAGGAAAATGACGAAATGAACTCGAAAGAAACGAACAGTCCCCAGCTACTGGAATTTCAACAACAGAAAATGACACGGAAAATGCAATGGGATGTCAAATCAGTAAAGCTTTTGGTTTTACCCCCATTGCCGTACGGTTTCCCCAACGGTAATCCTTGTTCTATTTAATTTTGATCAGACTGAAACTTAATTAGCTATTCCGTGCCTCATTGGCCATAAGTTTAATATCGGAATTCGGAATTACAAAAATGGCACGGCAAAAGTCACCATTACATAGTCAAGTGTGCCCCTTTTCGAACTCAAATAGAATACTGCCAAAATCTACCTGTCATTTCTCAAATGTTGATAATGAAATACAAGTATTGACCATTCCATATTTTCCTGGTTGCTGTGCAGTTCAACGGCATGACGGACACCACACGTCGTTTCTGTACCAAAATTTTGCACAGTTACGGGCAGCAGTGAGACGGCGCGTCGTCTACGATGAATTCCTGCAAAACAGTTGTGACAGTACACACACAAAACAAAATGGATAATTATCTTGCTTTCTCTTGTTATACAATTTGCCCGAAATATACATTTGTCTATACTTAACAGTCGGCTGCCATTTTTTTATTCCTACAAACAACGCCAGAAAACAAACGCCAAACGGTACGGCAGACACAATGTTGGTCTATGCTCGCGGTCTCCGCTCGGCTGGACGTGACAACATTGACAAGAGGAGTGAGTTGGCGGCTGGAGAGCGTTTATGCCCAACAATTTTGTCCAGGATTGTAGTTCTTAGCCCTTTGTGACCCACCCAGTAGGCCTATAGCACTCCTGATCACAGTATGTAAATAAAATCATCAAAATGCAATGGTCTTACGAGCCTTAATAGTAAGTAACAAACGGTTGTTCACTGCCAGTAACTTCCAAATACTGGCCGAGTTGGATTAATGATCATTATGTTGTCGACTTAATGTTTATGATCAAAATTGCTCACAGATACGCAAGAACCCTGAAGTAGCTTTTGTAGAGCAGGATTCCATCGTCCGTGCTGATTGGGTCGCGTCTTGGGGTCTGGACCGGGTAGACCAGAGGAAACTACCCCTAGACGGCAAGGCCGAGTTTGAAGGTCGGGATTACAGAACAGTCCATGTATTTATCTATCCTCATGTTCATTTCTGTCTTCTGAAAAAGGCGCAAAAATGGCATTTTCGGAACGCTGATGAGGTCAGAGATGATATTGCTTGGTGGTTTTAATGCAGGGCAGTATTTTGGATAGTGTGCCTAGACACAGAGCAATTACATCAAGCACCGCACCATACCAACTCCTCTTTCCTATTCCTGTGCTTTCATTTCCAGTTTAACCTTTCAATCGGTCCTGTTTTTTTCCCGAAGCCTTTACCCCCCCCACCCAAAAAAGAAAATGGCAGGGAAAAGAAATGAAAGAAAATGACAGAGAAACAAAAAAGGGTCGAAGGGAGAGTCGAACCCCTTCCACCGGTAATGATTTTCTGTTTTCTGCAGTTCTCAACCAGGTATTACCTTCAACCCCGGCAAAAATCCCGTGGAAAACGATCTGTCCATGCCCATCTTTTGGCTATTTTACTCCACTTTTGACCCATTAAAGAAAAAAAAACCGTTGATGGTCACTTTATATGGTTGAATATCACCGCTTGTCTTTTTCCTGCCTTTTTAATATATAGGCACTGGTAAAGGTGTGAATGCCTACATAATCGATACTGGTATATTTCCAGACAACAAATTCTTCTCGGACAGGGCGTATGTTGCCTACGACAACGTAGGTGACGGGAAGAAGGTAGGACATTGGTGCACAGAATGAGGGCGAACCACAGAGGGTAGTGCATAATTCCATATGACTCCCCCTCCTTAAGAAAAGGTCCAAACAGCAGTCGATATTGCTAGGTCGACATCATCAGACTCCTGTGCTGCCCTGCTTTTTAAACGACTTTAAACTCTCTTCGGTTTAAAACTGAAAGGCTACTTCTGTTGTTTTTCTGTCTTCTTTTAATAGGTAAAGGTTACGTTCATCAGAAAAAGAAAAGAAACATTGATCTTCTTTAGTGTTTTAGACTTGGGACAGATAAATTTACATAGCTCTCAAAATGTAAGGCCCACCTGCGTAGACCATTAATCCAATAATTGGATTCTTAACCTCTTCACGGTTAATTAGTTACATTGTGCGATAAAGCATGTGAAACAAAAATATCTTGACAGGTGGCTAGGCAACTTGGGATAACCGCCGAGAATAATCGAAATTGCCGCATCACTGCATAAATTAACCTTGTTTGATTTAAAGTTTATCAAGCAATTGGAAAGCAATTGGCTATAACTGGGTGATAAAACATGCACTGTGCTCAGGTGTGCACGCCACCGTGGCAATTAATATCCCTTCAATATTACTTGTTGTCTCAAAAGTACTGTAATTCAATACACATAATTCTCTTATAATTTGAACACTTTTTGCAAGCCAAGACCTTTAAACCCTTCCCTCTTTATTTTTTACCATGGACTAAACTTTTTGAACAGAGTTCTGTTCTCCTATTCAGCACATCTGTAATAAACTGTCAATAACCGTTGAATCTGCGGCAGGGTATCGATTGTAACGGCCATGGTACCCACTGTGCCGGCACAATCGGAGGCGAGGTATTCGGTATCGCCAGGGAGGCGTCTTTGTACGGAGTCCGTGTGCTGGACTGCTTCGGTAGCGGGTTCACATCTAACATTCTTGACGGTATATCCCTGCCAAATGTGTTGTATTTCAACTCCTTAAATGCATCCCTATGTCTCTTTCATCTTCATTAATACTTACTTTATTTTAATTTTTTTTATATATTAATTAGCCATGTAGGCCTACCAGTTAAGGCAGCCATGCAGTTTACACAATGAGCAGACAAATTCTGATTCGTTGTTTAAATTACTAAGCTAATTCCCCAAATAATTTTATGCTTTAGGTTTTAGTATCGCAACAGTTCAGTAGCAGAATTATTACTTTTTGAGATCAAACGGATGGTGGTCATTGACTAGTGCGATATTTCACTACATCTTTACATCCTTATGAGGCTTTTGGATAGCGTCAATGTTATTATCTTTGGGAACGATTCATCATTTTCATCGCACGCTCTAAAATTAACTTAGAATTCAGATTACCCGGGATTCTGGTCCTTTGGAGTAACATCCTCATCTGGGTCAGAAATAACAATTATGAGAGATTTTCTAACCATAGAATTCGTCCCTTCCGATCAACATTCTGCACTTCCAAAGCTAGTTTAAAATTTTCTCGCTGACTGAGTAAGCAAAAAATCTGAAGTTGTGGACATGTTCATAAGCTCAATTACCTGATTAAACTGTGAAATGCGCTCACCGTTTCGCTCAAACTTTTAAGGGAGATGATTTGACCCCATAAAACCCAGATGGAAAGTACAACAGTTTAAAGGAACAAAGTCATATTTTTCTAATGCAGTCTCGGTAGGCCTAATAAATTTTAGCGCCGCAAGCACCTATATAGTTGCTTTCATTTTTCCATTCGTATTTCATTTCATCTTTTTCTTCTATCCTGACGCTGGGGCCACATCAGCAACCCGTGGCACATGCATTGTGAACCTATTTTGTTATAGCACTTTGAACCTATATCTATCGATACATGTACTTTTCTCAGGGATGGATTTTGTTGCCAAAAATGCCCAGCACCCTGCAGTGGCATCGATGTCTCTGCGGTCACCACAGTCAGAAGCCATGGAAGAGGCAGTCAGGCGGCTTGTAGAGGCCGACGTAACAGTCTCCGTGTCTGCTGGTAACAGCGACGGGGACGCGTGTAACCAATCCCCGGCGAGCGCAAAAGAGGTATGGGTGCAAAGATTGTTATCAAAGAGGAGAAAACGTGGATGTGTTACGGGCTCAAACCCCTCAACTTAGCATTTGTCACTTCGCATGTCTGAGGTCAAATAACTACCTGATCTACACTCTAAACACAGGTGGGTCAGACTGACCCGGAATCGGGGTCCCATAAGGGCTGACCCTTTCCGGGTCAAATTAAGATCCCCTTTGGGATCATATTGGACCCTTTCTTGGTCAACTATGACCCAAAATAGGTCATAATTTTATCCGGAAAAGAGTCAGGCCCCATGCGACCCAGATTGCGGGTCAGTCTGACCCAGGTGCTTTTAGAGTGTACCAGCGTTGTTGTCGAGTGCTTGTCGGCCTGTCCAGGCAAATAAGGTGAAGTAAACTGAAGCTATTTTTGCGATCCCCAAATTCGGAAGCGGCGTATTTAGGGGGGCTGAGTCTTAGGCTTACCTGTAATGTACGGGCTTGACTTGGACTGTGGCTTTGCCGGAAGATCGTGGTTTTGAACGGTTTTAGCAAAGAAATAGGCGCACTTGTTTTTACCGACCGTAGCAAGTACCTTCGGGGGCAGCCTCCGGTCTTCACAATCGTAAACTGTCATAACCACAAAAGTGTACATGCCAAAATCTACAGAGTCAAATTTGGGCAGGGCTAAACCTGATATTGACCATGATTCGTTTTGTTCCACTTTTGAGCTGAGGCCTACTTTGCTGCCTTTATTAATTGAATTCTGGTACGAAACCCCTTCCATCAATCTAAATCAGGCGATAACCGTAGGTGCCACCGATATCGAAGACCAGAGGGCGTCCTTCTCAAATTACGGCAAATGTGTCGACCTGTTTGCACCCGGCGTGGACATTCCCAGTTTGTGGATGGGAGGAGACTTTGCCGTCAACACAATCAGTGGGACATCCATGTCCTGTCCTCACGTAAGCGGTAAGCCAATGAAACTACCGACAGCTACTGTATTTTAATGAAAATCTGGAAGGTGCATTCATCAAATTACGACCGGTAGCAGTTCAAAATTTCACTTGGGTTCGTTTACAACCGGACCTCTAGAGATGGAATTACACCATGGACCTGTGGTACATTTAAGTCTGAGCTTTTCTTTCTTGCACAGCATCCAAAATGGAGATTCTGTCCTTTGCCACGGAAATCCACACATTAATTACAAACCCAGAATTCGGACAGAATGTAGCCCAGAATATGTGAGTAAAGTTTGTATGAACTTAGTGTACATTCGAATTTCCCTTCCAAACCTAGGAGCTGCTGTGATCACCCGCGGCAATGATCCAACCTCAACAGCGCCTGAGGTGAAGGCTAAGATACTGAAGGACGCCACTCCGAATGTGGTGAAGAATCCCGGGCCTGAGTCGCCCAATCTCTTATTGTACGTCCCGTAGCCAGCGAGTTAAAAAGACAAAACCATTCGGGACTCAATGGGATAGTCCAACACAGTTTATTTTGTTTCCGTTTGTTTCCGTTTTGTGTCAGTCAGATACAGCAGACTATTTGGAAAGACAAATATTCCAGAATTCAATTACCAAATGGACTTATCATTTGTATGGTTTATTATCAAGAACGGGGAGCTTTTAATAAAGGAATATGATAAGCGAATTTAATGGAAAATGTTGGGCCGGATAGAGGGCGCGTGTAAGTGCACAAAAAGAGGACAGGAGTAGGGTCGGGGAAAGAAATCGGGATAATTATAGGAAAAAGGTAAAGGCATTTTGGGTCAATCGTTTGGATGTTCAAGCACCCCTCATTCATCAGTATTTGTACCTTTAGCAACAAAATCACTAATTAATAAAAATAGCCCTAAACCTATACGACCGGTTAAATTCATCCTTAACCCTAACTCTACGTGAAAAATTCATCTGACGATCGGAGAAAACAATAACCCTCCCTGCACAATGGGCCTAACCCTACCCCCACCCGAAAGATTAATCCGACGATCGGCCTAATCGTAACCCCAACCTTACCTCTTCAAATTCATCCCAGATCATCATAGCCCTAACCCTACCTGTTAAATTCCTTCAACGGTCAGCCTAACCCTAAACCAACTTATTCAGTTCATACAACGTTGGGCCTAACCCTAACCCTACCCTAACCCCACCTGTTAGATTCATCTGAAGATCGGCCTAACCCTCATCACTACACAATCAGCCTAACCCTAACCCCACCCGTTAAATTTTTCCCACGGTCTGGCTAACCCAAACCCTAACCCCACCCATTAGATTCATCCCACGGTCGGCCTAGCCTGAACCCTAACCTTAACCGTAACCCTAACCCTAACACCTATCCCTAACCGTAACCCCACCTAATTCATCCTACGTCAGCTAACCCTAACCCCACCAGTTACATTCATCCGACAGTTGGCCTAGCATGAACCCTTACCCATTCATCCCATGGTTGGCCTAACACTAACCCTAACCCTGTCAAAACCATCCCACATTAGCTAACCCTAACCCTACCTTAACCCTAACCCTACCCGTTAGATTCATCTGAAGATCGGCCTAACCCTCAGTGCTACAAATCAGCCAAACCCTAACCCCACCCGTTAAATTCTTCCGACGGTCGGGCTAACCCTGACCCTAACCCCACCCATTAGATTCATCCGACGGTCGGCCTAGCCTGAACCCTAACACCTAACTCTAACCCTACCTAATTCATCGCACA